CACCCGTATAATAAGAAAATTTTTCGTAGCTTTAGGGCGACCTCGGTTTTAGGGCGACTTTTCTAGTATTTAGGTAAAAATTTCTATGAGTGTAAATATTTTATCTCATAATAAAAAAATATATTTTAAAGTAGTTATTTCAACATATTTCTCTTAGCCTATATACCCCTTCCTTTGCAGAATGGTATTTCCTAACCAAGATATGGCTGTGCATCATTGACTTCACTTGGCCAAGCGCCATTTTGTATTTCATTTTATTTTGTGTGTCATTTAAACCGCATATTCCCTTCGACCGCCACACGTACAAATATATAAGGAGTCCCCAGCACAATACTATATATTATTTATTTGCCCAAGCCACACACATTTGAACTATGAAATAACCACGGGAATGTTTGCCATTTCGTGGTCAATATACGACATGACCCACATGAAGCAATTGCAAGGATGTGGATGTGGATGTGGCGACGGAAGGCAACGGATTGGTCAGGTGTGGTCGGTCGGGTTGTTTGGGCCATGTTTATTTATGCGACTGAGTGTGTGCTCTGTGTCTGACAGCAGCTCAAGGCTGTTCAATTAGTTGGGTGAAAGGATGTGTGTGTAGGTAGGGGGCCAATCGCAAGGATACTTGCATTGTTTGGCCTGAACTTCTCATCTCCTCTGGTCTCGCCCATTGCCCAGCATGATATCAAACATCAATCACCCCCAATTAATTATTCAATTTGGTATTTTTCAGATCCCTGAAAAAAAAGCGCAACAGTTGACAACAAAGATAAGTCACAAAATTGCGGTTTCTTGTTCATTTTTCGGTTTTGTCCATTCTGAAAAAATTTTACCAACACAGATTGGAGGCAAAAGGGACAAGCACAAATCACAAAAGTGAAACAAATTCCGACTGTGTGTTTTGTAATATAAATCAATCATACGACATGTGTGACACATCAAGCGCAAGGCAAATAAAACCAAATATTTGTCTATGGCGAATTTTTGGTAAGAGAAAGGAAGTCTTTTGCATGAATACCTTGTAAAAAAAACCTATTAAAGATTATAAAAGCTAAGATTGTTTTTGAATTTTTCATATTTTGGAATCAATTCAATAGAGACCCTTCGGATAGGCATTATAAAAAAATGTAATTTCCTAAAATTTAGTAGGCAATTTTTTTTTATTTTTGGGAAACTTGTTTAAAATATATATTTTTCTTTTACCTATTTAAAACAAATATATTTTTTTGATTTTATTTTTTTTTTTTTGACTATTTATATGTTTCTATTCTATATATTTAATTCTTTTCTAACCAAAAATTTTTTTTTAATTTACCATTTGGCATTCTTCATGTAAAGTTTACTACTTTCGCCCTCCGATTTAGATACCGTAGAAAAGGGAAAACTATTTGTGAGATAAAAAGCCTTTTTGTGACTGTGTCGACTGACTGTCTCGCCGCCTGACAAACTGCAATGCGATTGCCAGCTCAGCAGATGCGTCCAGTGCAAACACACTCAAACAAACACCACACACACACTCCACCCCCTCACTATCCTTCTTGTGTTCAACCCACTCAAGCCATTCTGTTTCGCTGCTCCGTTCTATTTGCAAGGAAAACATTTATGTAAAGTTTATATTATTAGAATGGCATACTAGAGGGCAGCATTGTGTGTCTCTGTGTCTTTATAACTGCACTTGTGTGTGTCTGTGTTTGTTTTATAACGACTGCCAAACGACATTTGCCAATATGTTTTAAAGAAAATAGAGAATAGAGAATGGAGGGGCAAAAAAGCTGGAGATCGTTAGACGACGACGACGACTGCGTCTTTCAATTTGCTTGTGTGTGCTCTCCTTTTGCCGGCGATTGAATTGGCATTTTAGTTGGGCCAGCTTAGACTGCAGCAGCTACGATGTCCTTTGCAGGACTTTCCAACCAACAAACTCATCGGCATTTGCCAATTTGTGTATGTTGCAGTCACTTTTTTACTTTACCACTGTATCTCCTCTAGGCCCTTTTCTTTAGTGCTTTGGCAGGAGGCAAAGTGCTGACTTGAATATGCATGGGATTGCGGCCAATAAATTATACCTTGATTGCTCGGCAATAACTTTGGCTTTTTCAGTGCGGAGTTGTGAGCATGAAAAATAAACTTTGCAAATGTGTTTTATGAAACTGGATTGGCCAATATAAATTTATGTCCAACAAGTTTTTGATCAGAAAAGTTATTTTCAATAACTTTAAATCAGTAAAGAGATATTTCTATGAATTATGAAGTGTGCTTTAATAATATTTTAAATATTTCCAAGAATTATAAAAAAATTTATAGTAATATTTAAAATATTTCAACGAATTTTTATAAAATTTAAACTGAATAACAATATAAATTTATAGTAATTAAATTTTTTGATAAGAAAAGTTAGTAGCAATAACTTATAATCAGTAAAAAAAATGCTATTATTGGTATTTAAAATATTTCTAAGAATTTTGAAACAAGTTCTAATAATATTTTAAATATATTCAAGAATTATGAAATACATTTTATTATTATTTCCTACGTGTAAGCAAACATTCTATTTCCCCCTTATTTTTCCGCACCAAAGATCACAGTTTTCCCACCGCACTGCAATCTCTATTCATCAGGTCACATCACCATCCAGAAAATCTCTTTTGGGCTCATTTCCATTTACGTGTTATCCCGAAATCTCCATTCACACAGGCGAAGCCCAACGGAACTATCTACAAAATTATTACCATTCAGCCTTCCTGCCCGGATTTCCATAACAAACATCAACGTGGGATCTGGGATCTGCGGATAGTTGTAGCCATTTTGTTTGCTCCTATTTTATTTTTGTTTGGGTTTCGTTTGGCCTGTCCATGGGTCTGGAAAATATATATTGATATGGCCGAAAACAGTGCTCTAGTTTACAGGATGCATAACCGAAAAAAAGGCCGCTCGCACTCCCCTCACTTTGGTTTGGTAATGGTAACAAATCCCCGTTTGTTGGGAACTGGGGACTGGGGGAAAAGCCAGGACTAACGTTACCTGAGTTTGGTTTTTGGTTTGTTTTGGGCCATGCCAGGAAAATATGTGGCCAATTATAGCAAAAGCAGACGTTTTTATGTTACAGGCCCTCCCGCTCGCCGGTCCTTTTTGCACTCTGGTTACAACTAATTTATGACTTCGGGCTAAGAGCTAGGATTTTCCGGTTTCTTTTTCGTCTTTCTCTTTTTTTTGTTATTTTTTCTTCTAATCATTGGCCATAATTCAGTAACTTTACTTCAGGCTATTCAATGTTAGTTTAATGGTTTTAAAATTGCCACAAACAAGAGTATTACGCATACGCATGGTAGGTTTTAAAAATTACAATTTAAGGAATTAAGTTGATGTTGGTTTTATATTTTTCGATTGGCTAAACCAAGAGTAACTCATAGAATTTTCTTGACTTTAAATAAACATTGTCTTTGAGTGGATTTGTTATGTACACAATTCCATCTCAAAATCCATTTTATTATACCCTTGCAGAGGGTATTATGATTTCAGTCAGAAGTTTGCAACGCAGTGAAGGAGACGTTTCCGACCCCATAAAGTATATATATTCTTGATCAGCATCACTAGACGAGTCGATCTAGCCATGTCCGTCTGTCCGTCTGTCCGTCTGACCGTCTGTCCGTCTGTCCGTCTGTCCGTCTGTCCGTCTGTCTGTTTCTACGCAAACTAGTCTCTCAGTTTTTGAGCTATCGGGATGAAACTTTCCCAAAAGTCTTCTTTCTATTGCAGGTAGTATATATGTCGGAACCAACCGGATCGGACAACTATATCTTATAGCTCCCATAGGAAGGATCGGAAAAGAAAACGTTAAAAAAATTCTAGCTTCGGTGTTTTTTGAAATATCACCTTCTACTTTTGGGGATGTTATTTTTTAAATATTTCTGAATTTCGAAATAATTATTTTAAAAATCGGACTACTATATCATATAGCTGCCATAGGAACGATCGGGAAATTAATGGAAAAGTAATAGGAAATAAATTCTAGCTTCTTTCGTTTTTATTGTATTATCTTCTACTCTAGGATATGACTCTTTTTAAATATTTCCGAATTTCAATTTTAATTTGATCAAAATCGGACGACTATATCATATAGCTGTCATAGGAACGATCGGAAAATTAATGAGATTAATGAAATTAATTGAACATTTTTGCGATTTGTTAATTAATAGGAATGATCTGCAAGGGTATTTAAGCTTCGGCTGGCCGAAGCTAGCTTCCTTTCTTGTTATGCAAAGTGTCAGCGTTTATTGTTCCGCTGCCGAAACTTTGTTTACATTTACCATCATTTTCTGGCGGCATCACAGAAATAATTTTTGCTTTACAGTCATCAAGAGATAGTTGAACAAGGCATTTATACGCATTTATCCAAGCCGAAAATGTTCCTCATTGCTTTCGGCCAGCTTAAAATTCAAATCTAATTCCTTACAATTTTCTTTTCTTTTTTCCTCTTCATGGTCTTTTTACAAATATTTGCCTTCAAATGTTGAATAAGAAGGAAATTGCAAGCGGCGAGAACAAGAAAAAATATTTTGACATTTTCCGCTGTTCCTATTTTACTTTTATTCTTTTTCCTTTACTTTACAATCTGACATTGAGATTTTTATCTTTAATGAAATCGTATTTTTAAAAAGAACATCTTCAATAACTTCAATATCAAACATTTATTAAAATAATTTATAAATATTTTTAAAAATCTTCCTTTAAATCATAATTCAAATTATGGTATCTATAAACATTTTCTTCATTTCCATCTCGTCCTGTCATAGACACTCGCATTTGGCTGGGATAAAATCATTTATCATTTGTCATCATTTTGGCTTTTGTTTTCTTGATGTTCTTTCGTGCCATCTTTTCAGCCTGTCCTAAACAAATAACTTTTCGATGGCATTGACTAAAAAGTTATTTCATTCATTTCAACCCAGACATTCTGGCCCAACTCATGCCGCTCTTAAGCATAAATTAAGACTTACTTTTGATGAGGCCAGGCGGTGGCAAAAAAGGAAAGTCCTGGCTAGCACTTCAGACCGAGACTTCAGACTAGAAAATGATTCAGAAAAGAAAATGTGTGTATGAGAAAAAGTTTTCGCATTATGAGGGCAGTTGGTGAAGAGGATGATGATGGGAAAGACAGACTCAATTAGTTTTATTTCAATGAAATGCCAGACTTTTGAGCCCCAAGGCGGCCACTGGAAAATTCCCCTGGCCAAAAGCTCCTTTCCAAATATAGACTAGATTTGTTTCCCTAAAAATTAACGCAAACATTTGATGTTTAATCGTGTGACTGTTGTCAAAGTAGTTGGCACATCATTTTGTGTACTCACAATTTGTTGCCTACTTTTGTGTTGGTTCGTAGTCAGTTTGCGAGAAAACTTTCTGTGCAAGAAAAAGTTTCGGAGGAAAAGTACAAAACTTTAAACGTGAAATCAACCCAACCAAAAATGGCGCAAAGTTCATGCAAAAAACGAAACGAAGTTCGACAAAAAGTCCATTGCAATCGATATAAAGTGAACTGCTGCTGCTGCTCTGATGTAGATTGGAATGGTGTCGATGGAAGTCAAGTCCACAAAGAGACAAGACGTGACAGCAGAAATCGAAAGCCGAAAGCAAATCAAATACACGAGTTGCAGTTTTCACTCTCTCTTTTTTGCCATCCTCTGTCAATATCTAGGGAAAACTGCGCTCGGCAGCCAGGATTTTTCACACCCAATAAGTTGCCAGGCGCTTAGAATTTAAATGCCAAGCATAAACAACAACATCGGATACAACCGAAATCTGCTTATAAAACATGTCACTAGGTCGAATTCTAAATGTTCTTCGACAATAACAAAAATTGTGAGTTTGTGTTTTTAGGAAAAATGATTTGTTGGAAAAATATAAGATTTGATATTAAAATAAAATAATCCTGTTATTTTCCTTGACTGCTTTTCCATGTTACCCATGTGAACCGTATGAAAAATTCTACTAAGTCTATTTGGCTGGCAGGTTTTATCCGCAGCATAAAGTGAAATCCATTGGCCAAAGGTGTTACCCGCAACCACCAAGAAAAGATCTAGGGCCAAAGCAAAAAAGAATGAGACATTCAGACAACCAACAACTCAATGTTGTTGGTTTGGCTTTTTTGCAGAAAAGTATAGCTTTTTTTTAATAACAGAATAAATAAAAGAAAAGCTTGAAATATATTTTTAGATGTATAATTTTTATTATTATTTTTTATTATTTATTATTATTAATTATTGTTATATATTATTATTAACTATTGTTATTTATTATTATTATTAATATTAATTATTGTTATTAATATTATTTTAAATTATTTTTTTAAACCCTTTAATTTAAGTTTATTTCTTAGCTAAAATAAATCCTGCCAACACTGAGCACCCACTAACCCCAAACCCTCTTTTCTACTTTGGCGCATTGTTGACTTTGCCGTCTTGGCCGCCGGTGTATCTGTATCTGTGTCTGTGTCTCTGTCTGTAGGTGTATGTGTGTCAAGTGGTCGGCCCCTTTCTCCGCTTTCTCTTCGCCTGCCAGAGGTGGTGGATGGCATCCATTCATTTGGATCTTCTTGCGGCAGGTCAGAGGCAAATCGTTGAAGTTGGCTCTGTGCGTGGTTAAGTCCTTGTCGATGGGCTTAAATAAACAGAGGAAAGGATGGCAAAGGATGGAAGGATACAGACAAAGTCGGAGACTGTCAGAAATGCGTTTGGCTGCTATCTTTGGAATATGATTTAATTACTGCTAATTGCTGGCTATACTAATTAGTTTGAAAGGCTTTGGCTGCCCCATCAACTAAGTGTCTCCATACTGCCTTTCAGATCAATAATAAGATATGTAATGTGAATGCGTGATGAGCAACTATATGTGATTGGATTCCAAAGGGGGAACTACTAAATCCCAGTTGACAGGTAGTTTCTACAGCTAATTAGCATTTTAAACTTTTAGTTTAAGTAGAGAGAAATACTTAAAATTTGTTCATAAAAATATGTAAAATATTAAAATGTTATTGAAAAGACCTGCTTAAATGTAAGGCTATCAACCAAATACTGTATACAACTTAATGGCCATAAAAATCAAGTAAATCTCCTTTGCAAATGGACCATAAGTCATTTTGCTTTTCCAGATATTTCACAATGCACTTAGCACATTAGCGAGTCCCAAACATGCACATGATGATGTCGGATAAAAATCCAGAAAAGTAACCCCACAATGATGACAGGTGAGAGACACGTACCGTAATCTAATAAATATGACAGTCAGTTTATGTGGCAGAATGTGAGAAAACAATATATATCACCATTAGGTTGAGCTGGAGCTTTCATTAACGGATTTAAGGAAACTAAAACAGGATGTGCGGTAGTACAGTACATATATATAGATATACACGTATCCTGCCGACACTAATACAGTTCTGGTTGCATGCTTGTGGGTGTATTTGTATCATGCACCTGTCATGAAAATATTTGCGCAAAATATTTTAAGCCGCATTTTGACAAAGGACTTGGCCCAAACAACTAGAATCACTCCTGACAGCAGGGACCTCCACGTTCAACGTAAATATGACAGGGATTTGTTATCGGTATAGGTGGTGTACGGGTGGTATGTGTGGCTTTCGTTTGCCTGGATCTATATTTCCTATATATATTTTCCACCTGTGCCATTGTATAAACAAATAACCGAAGCTCGACTAAACGGATTATAGAGCAAAGTGTTCACGGGATGCCAATAGGAATTTTCAAAATTTTTGCGGTCTACTTTCGCGGGTTCGGCTGTGTTTTGGCCGGGGAATTTGGGTGAGAGCAGGTAATGCACGGGTAAATGCAAACTAATTGCAGTTTGCGGTGAACATGGTTTAAAGGGTTATTAGATTACAACATGAAAGGCATATCTATTATTAAACCTAATTAAATCAGCGAAATAATAAATGACGGATATCAAATAAAATCAATACAATCCCTACGCCTACGTGTGTTAAATTTAATAATTCATTGGCGCTTAAAGCCGCTAGGTGGCGCTGTTTACTACTTGCATATCTTCATCTCCCTCGCACTTCCTTTAGCTGAAGAAGTTACATCCCAACTGACCACTTATTTATCCAAAAATTTTAAATAAAAAACAAAAAACTTAAAAAACCAAACTTTTAAACCACCAATATTTTACGATAATCAATACATCCTCCGTAAATGCTCATTATTGTTTAGCTTTACAAGCAACCCCTAAAATCCGGTAAAAAGTTCTTTCAACTTTGACCTAATTCAAGCGAAAGTAAACGGCCCTCAGGCCAATCCTTACGCCCCTCAAAAGCTGACCCATCAAAACGAGACCCGCAAATTTAAAACCACCAGAAACCAACCTCAAGGGGTAAATGCGCAATTGACAAGCAAATTGACAATTCACTTAATTCCGGGCGACAACAAAAGTGGAGAATAATTCTTAAACATTAAACCGACGACTGCAGTTGACAGACGACGGACAGCAGACGGGGTTCAGAAATTGCACCCACAAAATTCCCCTGAGCAGAGGATTAAAGGGTTGTTCCAGTTCCTTCTCATGAATAATGCAAAACCGCAAAAGCCAAAACAAGCAAAAACAATTAAGTGGGCTTGCCCCGGGTGGTTATTTGATTTGTTGTTGTTGATTTTTCCGTTCTTGTTTTTTTTTTGCGTGTCCCAATAATTATATGATTGACAAGCGATTGAGTTTTTGTCCCAAAAGCCTGCAAGGCAATTTAATAGCAAGTGATGGCGCCACGCCCCAAAGAGATAATGCAATCCCAATCCCAGAGAACCCAGTTAGGTGGGTCAAATGTCAGTGGTTGTGGTTGGGTGGATGGATGGGCGGATGACTGCAATGGGTGGTGTCTGTCATGTGGCGGGAGTGTCTGTTGCCTTTGGTAATTACGCTCACACATATCCACATGCATGCTAATTTCAACTGGCCCCGGAATCCGTCACAAAACCCGGTTTCTGGTCGAGTCTACAATGCCGAATGAGATTTTTGTGCAATGCCCTGTGTCTATCAAATCCATCACACAGAGGAAAAAAGAACAGTACAATTTCAATGTAATACAAGTGATGTTGACGGGGATTACCTTTTATTATTATCCTTAGATATAAATTATTTTGTGTGTGTTAAAATCACAAAATAAAATATCGATTGAATAAGGTAAAATGTAATCCTAATTTTGAATTGGTATTGATTAATACATCCAATCATATTTACATGGAAAATATTCTAAAAAATAATTAGAATTATTATGAACTAAGAATATTTTGTATTAACATTTTACAACGTTTTTTCTGCACTTTTTAGGACAGGACAGGGATTGAAAGTTGTTGGGTGAACTGCATTGAAATTGGAATGGCACGCATTATTTTTCATATGCCTGCCTGTGGGATAAATCTGTGGCTAGCCTTGGTCTTCCTCTCATTTCGGGCTTTTATTTTTGGCTTTTCCCTGTTGGTTTCATCTGTTTGCGGCTTTTATGTGAAATTGCCTTTTCTGACTGTTTAAGGGCGACAGGAGTTTTTCGTTGGTTTTGTAAGTGGGGAGAAAATGAACCACAATTATGATTTATTTTTGCGGCAAACTAAGAGTTTTTCCTAGATTATCATAATTAATATTCTAGAGTTAGGTAATGCAATGAGTTCACCATAGAGTTCTTTTTCTTTTATTTTTCTTCTGATTAAAGCCATATTAACACCTAACGTAAAGGGCTTTAATTTATATTTCCAGTTACAACTACTGAGGTGACCCCAATTTCCCAGTGCTTAGTATGCAAAACCATTTGCCAACAATTAAACTTCAACGAGTTTATCAAATTTTGACTCACAAAATAGCAGGGCTCGAAATCACAAGTCAAGTCAATTGTCCTAATTAAATATTCGGACCGAATGCCGTAGAGATAGAAATGTTTTTCACCTCCTTGTTCAGGCAGAAATGGATTTTGGCTTGGCATCGATTTGACAAGCATCCCAGATGACAATTCAGACACATCGAGGTCTGCTCATTTGTGCAGCAAAATCAGTGCAGGATAGATT